ACTGATCTCCTATGTCAATAGTTTATTTACATTGATTGATCACTGAGCAGTGACCAGTGTCATTTTTGTCTGTTCCTTAGTATTCACTAATCAGTCATGTTGCAGTATGATTGTTATTCTGAGTGCGCTAAGTTTCGATGCCAGGTAGTTAACAGACCCTAATGAAAAGTGCCAAATAGTACGAAACTTAAGTCTAGGGTGCCTTGCCGACTACCTTCAAATATCCTACATATAAGCATTGTATATTTGGTGTCGAGTCACTGAAACTAATACACACATTGCAACTTGATTAGTGGAATCAGATCAAGACTGGGGACTAGATATACATGATATTGATTACCACTCACAGATCAATCACTATAAAAAGATAGCGGAATCATGACAACTGTACTCACGGTAGACTGGCATCAAGTGAAGAATCATTACACAGCAAGGAAATCGGAAGTTGCTTCACCTTAAATAAAAACTCTTTGAAAGGATAGTGAAACGTCACTGGGCCCTAGCCAAATTATCCGGCAGGCAGGTTATCGAATATCGAACAGTTTGCCGATCCTCATCAACATCAAGAACCAACGCGCATGAATCAATGGCTTGCCATGATCAGGTGCATGAGACAATCGTTCCGCCTTGTATTTCTGTTTACTGTTAATACTGTTGTCCATTGAGAGTATTTATTCTAGCCAGCCGCCTGGTCATCACGATAGCATAATCCAGGTTAAGTAATAACCGCGAAGAGTGACTTCAACGTAAGCCAGGAGGTCACATGATCCCCATCCAACTTCAGTAGGATTGCAATCAACGTCACAGATCACCTACATTGGTAATCGGCATCCTCATTATCGTCCGTTCATGAAACAAAATGAGAATGAACTTAATATGTTTAAGTCAATCAGGTAACACCACAGCACTTTGTTCAGAGATAAAATTCAAAATTCTTCATCTTTACAATTCAATTACTTACCGATATTCATTTAATGTTATCAGTGAGTAAGTCGACTTCTAATAACAATGTATTGATAGAACAAATTCAATCAGTCAGTAACAACGTAGAACTTCGTACGTACGTACGTACATCAGTTCGAGTTGCCACACCACATTAGCATAGAGATGCAGTGGTCGATTCAAATCCCGTAGTGGTAGGGGTAATAAGAGTATAAGCAGTAATCGGGAAGATTAGTGTTTGGAGATGTTATTTAAAGAGTATAATACAGTGAAATAAATTTGGAAAGAGGAAAAAAAGAGACAAGGAGGAATAAGGAGATCAAAATTTGGGAGAACACAAAGAGTTGATGCACCTGCGCCATTGCAAACGATTTTGAGCCATATCACTCAGGGTCCCTGACCATCGGTTGCTATCATCTAGCGGTCCCCAGCCAGGTAGTCTACACCTACCGACATGACTCAGACCACTTGTCAGTGACTTCATAGATTTGTGCCATGTTTTAGTCTGGCCGCCCCTAGCTTTCTTCCAACCTACTCCTATATCACTGAACATCGCACGTCGAGGCAGTCGGTCGTTGGGCATACGTAACACGTGTCCCAGCCATCATCAATTGATTTGCCATCCTTACCTTGTACCCGTTTCCTGACAACTGCATTACTTACTCGATGGTCCCAGGAGTAGAACAAATTATTTTTAAACCATCTCAGTGACTAGGACATGAAGTTATGCTTCAGAAACTTTTGCATATTAAAACCAAGAAACTGAAGTAAGTTACTATCAGATAATAAAATTTAGTAAGAATTTAATAATGATCAGAACAAGTGTAATTTAAAAGTAGCTTAGTGGTTGGGCTATACAATTCCCAGCCAGTAGGTCTTAAGTAAGAGTTCAAACCCCTTCCACTTAGCTGGCTTCAGACAGTCGAGTAATATTAATAGACTTTATACATCGATTATGGTTCTAAGCCAAATATAGGGTTATTCAGTGGTTTATGTTTAGAAGAAATAATTAACAGATAAGTGTTCTGCTGAAAATCGTCACTATGATTAATCTTACAGTCAGTCAACTACAATGTAGGACCACGCACATATATGAATCGGTCCAAGTTGCTATACCTCATTAGCACAACAAGATCAACACCAGATTCATCGAAGTAGTTAATTCAATGGTGCTAATATATAAAAAAAGATTGCATATAAGGATATAGTACAGGAAGAAAGAATTAGTACGTAGAAAGAAAGATATGAAGCGGTTTTAATTTCATAGTTTAAGGGAAGATAGAGAGTGTATACACCTATGCCATTGTGATCGATTCTGAACCATGTCACTCAGTCACCAACCATTGATTACGACAGTCACACGGACTCAAACCAAGTAGTCTGCATCTACCGACATGGCTAAGATTAATCTTACATAATTAGTTTATTTAACATCAAAAGTTATTGGCACGTAAATTCAGAGTTTCAAATTTGGCTGACCTTGTAAAAAATGTTTAGTGTTTGGTACGTCATTAAACAAATATTTATGTAAATAAAATGTTGATGTTTTTCATATAACTACTGCTGTTGTGTAATAAATTTTTGGCTAATGAATTAAGTTCAGATATTATTTTTAAGTAGCAACAATATGACTAGGAACTGGAACTGACAATGTTTTTTTTTTAATAACTATTTATAGTTGTAATGAAATACTTAATTCAATTAGTGAGGCAAACTGTAAATTTGTGCAAGTGGCAACTTGTATAAGAATGAAAATATACAGGTAAATGGTGTCAATTTCATGACTGATGGTAAATTTGAATGGCTTGCTATATATTACATGCGAATTGACTATAACAGTAAGACTTCCCTAATGTCTTAGTAAGTTAGCTGAACTCTAATATCCATACGGAACTGTACATAGTAGACATCATAGAATGATATCACCTGGCACACCATAGAAAACCAGGTAGAACTGAACAGTTGTCTCATACTAGTATAGGACTTCTCAGCACGGCACACCCATCACCCCATAAAGGATAGAAATCAGTATCTTCACGTTTCAGTTTATTATTTATTTGAACACAAAAATATTGGTACAAAGGAGCACTGAATGCATATGTGTCAGACAAGTCACTTGATTTGTGTGTGGGAAGTGATACTGTCAGGGTGCCCAGACCGAAGCAGATGGTTTTCTTAAAAGGTCATGCCTGGAGCTTTCGACCTAAAGATCTAATTTACAAGGCAGTGGAGCAACATCAGGAGATCCAGTCTCATGGTAGCCCGTGACCAATAATTGGCCCATACGTCATTTGTTCCCTCAGGATACTGGAGCCCATGTACACCATTGGTTTGGATGCAGGGTTTTCTAACTCCCGTAGGTTGATTCTCCGTCTCCACAAGCCAGGTTAAAGCGGCGGACATAGGTTTTCCATCCTCTCATTTTCGTAGGCGACCCCCCCCAGCCACGAGAAGGAAGTGAGTAGGACTTTCCTGACAGTGGCTGTATACGCGTGGCCATGTGAGGGCATTTGGGGGCATACCAGTGTACACAGCCATTGGAACTCTTGGGTCGGCGTCTCATGGTACAATTCCAACTTCAATCAATTTGCGATACGGCACAACCACTATCTGATGACATTGGCAACAAATGTTTCACTCCTGAAATATCTGAACTCCACTTCTCATGATCTATCACTAGAACTTCAGACATCTCTGAATGCCGGAAGGCTTGAAGGTCCTCAGTTAAATCTCTGATCGGTTCATGGGTGTACACTGCTGATAAGTCCGATACTAGGGCGAAACAAACATTCAGTGTTCTTTTGGTTTTCGATAGTACCTCGAATGAGCTCAGTCTAACGAATTAATCCGATCTCCATAAAAACACTTTGAATAAAAATTGATGTTGCATTAATTACAGCTGTCCAACTCCACAATTGAATTTTATTCCTATCACGAACTGACATCAGCTGGACAAATATTAAAAACCAGGAAGACAGTGTATATTTGTCTCGTTTTAGTTTGCCTTTGCGTTCGATCACTGATGAGGTCGTATGTGGGTGCTGCAGGGAATCACTAGACTATACCACAAAACAAATGTTCATTTGTCGTACAGATTAATCGGATTTAACTAAAAGAAAGTACATTCTTATACTACAAAGTAATGACGATTGTACAGTTGGAGCCTACAATCACACAAGGTATTATTGCTGTAGTGCAAATAACTACTGTTTTTCGAATGTAAATATTGTAGAAGTTATTATTAATAGATTTAATATCTGGAACATAATTTGGCGATCACGTGTATTTTAAGGCGTTGCAGTTCTTAAGATTGATGGAATAGTCATAATGTACGTGCTTACCATCTGGTGTAAAAATAGTCATGAATAAACCACTCAGCTCTAGGAAGACAATCTCTCCAAAATCATTCACATTTCATTTCAGAATCAAACAGTAAAGCTCCCAATCAAATAGCACCATTATCTCGCGATCATAAATTAATTTTTACTGTAAGTAGTAACGCTAAATAACCGAATCCATGAAAAATTAAAAACACTGAACATGCCAAGTTGCCATACTAATTTCGCATAAAGAAATATAATTAACCTGATGTACTGTTAGAAAATAGTAGTTTCATGACCGATGAAATCAGTGTGTATAATCCCAATAGTTATGAGAAATTCAAAGCATTTATACCCAATCTACATATGCTTTGAAACAATTTGTCATTAATCTCGTTTTAAGAAAAACCCAATACAAAATTCAAACTGAGTTGTTACGATTATGTACTCACAGTTTTCATATTACTATTCACTATACTTAAATATAAACATACAATGGGACAATTACTTCAAACGATATTGAAACATTAAACTCTACGAAATGTTCACTACATCTTACTTACGCCCGTTACTCTTCGTGGGGGAGCAAAGGCCCACCAGCACTTTTAAATGGTTTGAATTATTTTTTCTGGCTAGCGTTTTTTTTAGCGAGTTAGTTTTCTATGGGTCAGGGTCGCTAACCCCATGCCTGAACTTGGGACCGGCAGTAATTCTAGAAGAGCTACAGGCGGAGTTATTCAGTACATCACATCAAGTAATTTATTCGTTAAACAAACAAACAAACAAAAAATACACTACAAAGCAAAACTGAATAGATTTTATTTTGTAAAAGCAAATCAAATTTCATAGAGGATTATAACACTGTACTAATTAGATATTTGTTTCTTTCAAAAAGCAGTGATCTGAGAAATTGAATGTCTTAAAAAAGAGCAAAAATAAGCAAGAAAATTAACCACAGTTTTATAATGCAGTCGTCGTTAACAAGATCTTTCTTTTCTTTCTTTTTTCTCAAAAAAAAAGAAAGAAGGGGGAACTAATATTGAAAAAAACAGGGATATAAAAACAAACAAAAAAACACAATTTTCTTTGAATACATAAGAAAAATATTTACCAACAAATAAGTCACAATCAAATCTCTGTTGAACACGAATTATATATTTGGTTAGTTTTTCATTTCATGCATTGATTAATGGGAAAAAAGAAAAACAAAACACAAATATATATGTGTGTGTGCAATATAGAATATTTACGAATGGGGGAGAAGAATAGAAGCACTACAGACAAAGATCATGGATTAGTGTCAGTTGAACAGGAAACACAAAGTTAGAAATAGTAAACATTGACAATAAGAGCATACAGAAGACGAAGACAAAGAAGAATAATATATGTGTACAATGATAAAAGGAAAACAAACTGAAGAGAGAACAAAATTATAGTTACCAGATTATTTATGAAATAAAAATAGCATAATGGGTAGCGCGCACATTTAATGGAGTTAAGTAAATTGTAATTATGAAAGTTTTGTTTACATGTTTATTAGACTATAACATATCCTATACAGAGTTTATAACACATAGATTATTTAAGTTGTCCATTGGGTGAACCGAAATCAAAGCTACTAGGGATAGTTGGTGAAAAAGTATATCCTCCAGCTTGTTCAATAATTTTAGACTCTGAAATATAAATTGGAAAATATTTTGTTAGATTTATGAGAAACAGACGAGATATACTCTATGTGTATAATGGAGACAATCTGAATTAAATTGAAAATATATTTATCTTGAAATCAAGTGAGTAAATTACAAACAACCATAATGATTCAAATGTGTTCTGATTCATACTCAACTATGTGAAGAATTTGCACTCTGCTAATAGATCCTTACAGTACCATGATGAATGGTGTCGTGTATCAATGCTGCATTTATTTTATTTAGACATACATATATTGGTACAAATGAGCACCGAATACATATGCGCCACACAAATCTCATTTGATTTGTGTGTGGGCTATGATACTGCCCGGGTGTCCAGCCTGGAACAGGTGGTTTTCTTAGGGGGGCACGCCCGGAACCTTCGACCTAAAGGTCTGATCCAAGGCAGTGTAGCAACGTCAGCAGATGTAGTCCAATAGTAGCCGGTGTCGAACAATAGGTTCATACGCCATCTTTTCCCTTAAAATCCTGTAGCCTATGTGCGCTATTGGTTTGTAATCAGGGTTTTCCAACTCCCCTGAGTGGATCATTCGTATTTATCAACTCGGTAAAGGCGTCGGACATTAGTTTTTCGTCCTCTCCATTTCGTACCTGATACTCCATAGACCACGCATACTGGATAGTTAGTCATACCCAATGTAGAACGTCAGAAACCGGATCAAAACAACGACAACTATATCAGAAAGTTTCATCAGTTCATGAAGCCACTGACTGACCGGTTATTAATCTGTCATGTTGATAGGTGAAAACTGCATGATTGGCGCGATCATAACCAATAGATGTCAGGTCACACTGTTCAGAATCCGTTACAATAGCCAGACGTATTCATTATGTCTTTCCAAATACTTTTATATTCAATCATTTTCAACTACATTCTTAATATGAAGTCTTTTTTACGATCATTTCTACACCATTTTATCTCGACATGTTAATGTGTTGTGTCAACTTAAGCTAATTCACACTACAGTCACGCTCTACGTTTAAGTCAGCTTGGATAATAAAACAAATTTATTCACAAATCCAGTTGTCGTTGTCAGTTGATATGTGCACACTTGACATAATCACGATTAGTCAGAGTCTCGAAAAGACCAAACCATTCACTACCTGTTAAACTAATTCGTATAGGAAAGTGGGAACAATGAATGACCACAACGTAACGCTTTTTTGGAAGATACAATAGCGTTTTGCTGTAGCATATTTAAGCGCTAAAATATCATGATTCGTAAAAACACGAGACCATTAAAGATGTCATTGTGAACAAACACAGAGTTGAAGGATATCACATTATGCGTTTTTATGAATTAAATATGATCAGTACCTCATAATTATTTCCTTGAACACATGAAATATGAAGAGAATATATATATATATATATATATATATATATATATAAATTTACCTTTTTGTTGGATACATTTTAGAGCAGTATCCACCACTCCTTTGAGATCATTTTGTTGTTCTTCACTAAGATGATTTATCAACTGACTATACCATGCATAATCAGATCTTTCCAATTCAGTCATTACACGATAAAACGTTACATATTCATCCATATCACATTCAGACTTATCCATTTGTGTGTCGAACGCCTCGAGTGTTTCTTCTTCCTCATCGTCCTCATCTTCATCATCATCGTCGTCGTCGTCATCTGAATCTTTCTAAAGTAAAAACCGATCGCATGTCAGTAACAAACTGAAAATGGATATGTTAAATTCTCTAATTAAGATTTAAAACGTATAGGAACATCAAAATGTTATTAACCAGGTTGTGACTGAGTTTAAAAAATTGGACTCAGTCAGTCAGTAACAACGTAGAACTGCGTACGTACGTACATCAGTTCGAGTTGCCACACCACATTAGCATAGAGATGCAGTGGTCGATTCAAATCCCGTAGTGCTAGATGTAGTGAAATTATAAGCTGTAATCAGAAAAATTAGGGTTTGAAGAAGTTATTCAAGGAGTATAATACAGCGAAATAAATTTGGGAAGAGAAAAAATAGAGACAAGGAGGAATAAGGAGATCAAAATTTGGGAGAACACAAAGAGTGGATACACCTGCGCCATTGCAAACGATTTTGAGCCATATCACTCAGGGTCCCTGACCATCGGTTGCTATCATCTCGTGGTCCCCAACCAGGTAGTCTACACCTACCAACATGACTCAGACCACTTGTCAGTGACTTCATGGACTTGTGCCATGTTTTGGTTTGGCCGCCCCTACCTTTCTTCCAACCTACTCCTACACCATAAAACATCGCACGTCGAGGCAGTCGGTCATTGGGCATACGTAACACGTGTCCCAGCCATCTCAACTGATGAAGTTTCAATACGTCATCAATTAATTTGCCATCCTTACCCAGTCCCCTTTTTCTAACAACTGCATTATTTAGTCGGTGGTCCCATGATATACGAGCTATGTTTCGAAGACACCTATGATTAAATACTATTAACCTACGAATATCCTCTACTCTTACCGGCCATGTTTCACTGCCATAAAGTAGGACGGGACGAGCTGCTGTGCAGTAAACACGTCCTTTGGTTGATAGATGGATATCTCGCCTACGCCATAAATGACGCAAGTTGGTAAAAGCTAGTCGAGCCTTCTGTATCCGTGCTGAGATTTCGTCACACACCAGACCACAAGGGCTGGTGAGACTTCCAAGATAAGTGGAGCGATCGACACGCTCAATTACTTCACGCCCTATCATTAGTTCGGGTGTCAATGCAACCCAATCCTGAAGCAACATTCTACATTTCGAGGGAGAGAATCGCATCCCGAACGTGCTTGCATTGTTGCTTAGAGTGGTCAGAAGACTGCATTTTGTCAGCGTCTTCATCAAATAAAACTATGTCATCAGCATATTCTAAGTCAACAAGTGAACCTCCCGGTAGAAGTTAAACCCCTGGAAATCTAGACGAGGAAAGTGTTATCTCTAAAAGTACGTCTACGACAAAGTTGAACAAGAATGGAGAGAGTGGACAGTCGTGACGAACACCACTTGGAAAAAAAGTGAAAGTGACTATTGAATGAAGTGGTGTTAGCATTTATATTACAAGATGCTGTTTTTTCTTCAACAGTGAGCACAACGTAATTATACTGTCGATTGATGAAAATAGGGTTTTCTCATTTTTCCATGCAAATTAATAACCCTTGAATCAAGTAAACACAGGACTCATTAATGAATGACTGTTTATAACTGCTTTTATTTAAAACGCTGAAATATCGCGATCGCATTAGTATGCTTTACTGGAAACGTGACAATTGATCATATCACATAGGAAAAAATGGTTTGTTTCATTGACCTATGGTTATTCTATTAAAATTGGATTTTCAAAAAAATTTACAGAATGAGAGAAACTAAAAAAACATTGATGTAGTATATATAATAGTAAGGATTAAAGTATGTTAAGTAATGTACGTTTTACAAAGAAACACAGCACCATGAGTTTATCTTTTAATCCACGGTAACTTGTTATTAAATGTTAAATGTTCAGGAGAAAATGTAACTGGGATCATCATTTTATAGGAATAAAGGTGGATAATAGCACAAATTGTTAAAAGGACACAGTTCTACCTAATGTAGATTTAGCAAAGGCTAAAATCAGAATACACTGATTGGAGCATTTTAAAATGATCCCAGTCAATGGGAGAGTCGAGGAATAAAAAAACTTCTAAACATTTTATACAAAATCTAACATCTTTACTGATTTATCTATGCTGCTTGAATTTATTAGAGTACACACTGTTTCCTTTTAACTGTGGTTTTGATTTGGGAAGATTGAGGTGGAATATAATGTTTTGGGTAAACTAGGTCTATTTAACAATTTGGTTCCTATTTGTCAGTTACAGACTTCGACTTTTAGTCACTAAGTCCCAGGTTTGATCCCAATCCATCGACTAAAGGTTTGGGCGACAGAGTAGTATCATTAGATTTACACATGCATTGCGACTCATACCTAAGTACGTAGTAAGCGAATTAATTATTTTGCCTTAAATAACATGACGCTGTAAAAAATATTATAGTACAATAATAAACAAATCATAAAAACGATTAGCCAGAAACAAAAAGGCAAGACAACAATTCACATGTTTTTTCTCAATCAATGTAAAGCGATAGTGAAACAAAAATAAATACATCGAATATATAGAAAAGCTTACAGTTGCCTCTAACATTTCCAAATAACGAACACTTTCTTCGTCTACTTCATCTTCATCGCTTCCCAAAGCTTTACCCTCTAAATCTTCCTCTGTTTCAGATTCTTCTTCATCCGAATCTAGAAACAGATAGAAGATAGAAATATCAATTGTGTTTGAGAAATCAAACATATATTTACTTATTATAAAGAGAAAATTAGTGATAAGTACTTGTCTACAAATTACAGGAATTTAATTACTCCAACTGGAACCCCCTCTAGGGCTACTACTACTACTACTACTACTACTACTACTACTACTACTACTGGTCATAAACCCGGATAACGTGTTTTGAGTTGGGGCAAGTTCACTTTGTGAAACAAAACCCTGTTATACAAGAGCACCAACCAGAGTAAACGAAGTACACTACCTTGAAAATTGAACGGTCTTCACGTAGATATATGATGCCACATGGTAAGCCCTAGGGGTCTACTGAAGCTACCAACCCGATACTCCACCTTCGCACTGAAACTTATTACCGCGACTATAGAAAACATTGGACGACTTTTTCATTCCAGTATTGAAAATCAGACGTATGTGTTCACGATAAAACCGAGAGTCGAACTCAGAAACTTCGAACAGTTCGTGATGTAAACGATGAAAATTTAACAATCTCCACAAATTTCCCCAACACTTAAAGAAATCCCGTACTCGTGGTAACTAACTTTCGGATCCAATAATAGTGAGAAGACATGACTAGTGGAGTTTGGTCATGTCGGGTGTGAAAATTATCTACCACAGAAAATGAAACGTGGTTGCGCGAAATCGTGAATTGAGTGAAGTTAGACATCCATACCATTGTGAAGTCTTGAATTCCATCCCGAATGGTTGGATGCTATGTTCTCATTGAGGACTCCTTTGCAATGACGAAAAAGTTGTTTAATGCTCTTTGATTTTAAATGGTGGTCTACGACATCCTACGATATAAAGTACGGAAATTTAACAATCCCAAAAAAACCTCTCAATAAATTGATTAAGGAAAAATAGTTATCAAATAAATAAGGATGAAAGTGAGAAAAAGCCCTACCATCCTCATTTTGATTGGAAGCTTTTGTTGCGTACGCCTTTTTCAGTCCAGAAAATAACAGTAGAAGTGATGGTATATACTTTTCACTGAATGTTACAATTGCATCAGTTCGTTTATCAACCGGAAGAGAAATAATCAAACAAAGTCCTAAGACACAGAGGCGGCGATCATGCAATCTAAAGAAGAGAAACATCGTTTTCATTTGGTTTACTTGAAAAAAAATGAAACTTGCTAACGAATTTTAAATTTAAGAAAATTGAACACAATTGTCATTCGTGTAAATTCAGGAAAAACTATTGATGAATGTGTCGCTTGTCAGTTATTTTGTTGAGATTTTGATGCATATTGCTCCATGAAATACTGAGACCATTTTAGTAGACCATAATTCACTGTAATATTCTAAGAATTTTTAGTTTGTTTGCTTATTTACAAAAGGTCCGTTCGAAAACCAGTGACTTTTGAGTAATATACAGTAATGGTGCATTGAAAGCAACAGATTATAAAACGGAAAATCAAATTTATGATGTCAAAAATACAACTCCACTACAAACGACAGAATAATGATGAGATATTTGGGGCTTATTTTCTTCAACAGTCCAGTTTTAAAATTACTACACAGATTGTTTCCATGGTATTATGAAAGAGAAATATTCAAAGTGATTTAACAACACCAATGACTGGATATTCAGAAAGTTTCTGTATACACGAAAAACAACGATCGAAATTTTCTCAAATAAAAGTAACTTACCCAAGCGAACTGTATGAGTTGATATAGTTCATTTTTAATTTAATGCGACTTATCTATTAAGAACGGATTTATGTGCTCAGATTAAAATCATATTAGTATTGTTTATGTTGGTGATATTATCCAGCCTCTTGAACTGGAGTAGTTATAATGGAGCTTGAATCTGAGATTGGATGAGTGAATCACCAAGCTATTGATTTGAGTCGGAGTGAAGACTAAGGTGGATAGACTGCCATAGTATTGAAAGTTTTTATAAGGAAAGCAAAAGTTGAAACATTTAAGGCCAATCAATACACAAAAAGCTGTTACTGCTACTTGTATAAGTAATCTAGACCCAGACGAAATGCAGTAACATAAGAGAAAATGTAAGTTTGAATGCCAGCTGCTCTATACAAAGAAATCCATACTATGGGATTTGTATTACTAACCGATCTATAAAGGCTTTGGGGTGACAGTTTGGTTAAGGTTATTGACTTTCTCAGTTTCTTAAGTACGAAGCAAGCAGACATCATACTTTTTTAATTAATCTTATGCACATATATTAGTCAACAACTAAATTAAAAAACCACTTACCCAAGGAAACAGTCTGCATCTTCAATCCATCGTTTAAGGAATTCGGACAAAATGTTAACCTCTGTCCCAGGCCATGGATGCTCGATCATCATATGAAGCATATCCATAGGTGAGTAAAGCAATCCAGCAATTACCACCTGATTGTTAATATAAATAAGGTTATTAAAATAAATGATTACTTAACGGGAAAATTACATATTGTTTTAGATGAGTTAATTTATCAAGTTCTGCACGAAATAGTTGAATAATAGAATGCAAATATGATGACAGACTGGAACAATCTATTTGTAATTGAGCGTTGGCAATGGAAATAATTAGAAGCTTCGAAGCATGGGTAAGATGTAATGGGAAAAATAACAGTCAATATCATTCTAGAAACCAAACTATCATGGTAAAAAGGGTATGTAGCATAGTGTCAAGATGGCTTAGAAAAGCACGACGAGGCCACAAAAGGCTCTATAGGAGCCAGAGATTCCATCCAAACAGAACTTGATATAGCCTTCTAGAATACTAACGTGGCATACCACGATTGGACAATAGTATAACTTGCCTCCTTGTGGATTGGCTAAATTATGATGATGCTATAGTCAAGACTAATAACCCATGTTTTTCTTTTCTGTTTTTGATTCCTACCGTTCTCCTATGTTCTGATTTACGAGTGTGAGGTTTTACATGTTGGAGTCCCATTAGTTGTACATCGTATTCTACCGTAATCAAGTAGAGGACGTAACACATAGTTCGTTCATAATTTAAAATACACAAATCATTAGTTTATAGAAATGTTTCCAATCTGCAAACAGCTTCCTACAATGAAAAACTAACTCACAAACCAGAGAGAAGCGGCTGTTTTGTGATTGTCAATTTTTAGTAGTTTTCTCTAACTGATACCAGTTTATGGCGAAAAACTGAAATCGCAGGTAGACATTAAATCTGTTTCTTAGTTGTTTCGCTGAGATAAGTGCAACTTTATGCGCCATTCACTCCTCTATTAGGCTATATATGACATGAACCAAGACCCTTTTACCTTGAACATAAACTTAAGCGAATGTTTCCGAAAAAAAATTACCTGCATACAGAGTGTTCTAAGTTCACTTGAAACAAGCGGGCGTGTAAGACGTGTAAGTGCTAGCTCAACATATTTTGGTACATACTGATTCACTTGACCTCGATAATCAAGTAAAATAACTTCAAGTAATTTTGCAGCATGCATTTGTAGTCTTTCTTGGTCATCCATTGAGAACACCTATGGAGACAAATATTAGGTAAAGTAAAATGCAATAGAGAATAAACAAAACGACCTTTTATTGACTAACGATAAAAAAACTATAATGTAACGGTCCAAACTTGGAAAGTATAAAGAACCTACTGGGATTAAAAAGATTAGAGATGTGTTGATTTATTTATTTAGCTAATTCATCAAGTACACATTCATGTATTTGGTTTTGAACTGCACTCTAAATATGAGGGCTAGTGATACTACTACTACTACTTGGTTGTCCAAACTAACATAGATAGAGCAAAGTTTGAATCTGCGAATTGACGGATGGGAGTAAGAGGCCATAACCACCGGATCACCACGCTATGTGCATCCACTACCCAATCAATTGTTAATCCCTATCGATAAATGAATCGACCGACAATATTTGAGTTAAACGCTTACCACTAGATTCCACGTTGTCAATTCGGATTCTAAAGGTACGGATAGCTAAAAATGTTGACGTAAATATATAGGACAGTTCGCTTCAGATGTCTTCATGGGTTCATTTAAGGTAAAGTTCCCTAAGGTTAGAAACGACAGAGTCAAGTTTTTGATTGGATGGAATGTATCAGCTTTGCAAGAGATGGAATAGAGGGTTGAAGAAGATAATGAACCACTATCAGTAATAAGGCTGATAAAAGTTTAGTCATGACGCTAGGCAACCTGGTTGCGTAAATAGAACACCGACTGCTATATAAGACTTATACTTACAAGCGAACGATATTCTATTGACGAAGAGAAAATTGACAGAGACCGTGCCTGACGAAGATATAAAGTTAAATTTCACTCCCTTGCCATTAAGAGAACAATTTATTTATTTGAACACATAAATATTGGTACAAGAGAGCGCCAATATATATGCGCCACACAAAACAATGAGAATTCGAAGAGAAGTAGAAAGAAAAAAAAACTAAGGAACGCAAAAGAAAAAGAGAACAATGACGAAGAGATTGGAGTAATGAGTAGGACTTCCCTGGCAGAGGCTGTATACGCGTGGCCGTGTGAGAGTATTTCGAGAGGGAGAGCGGACTCTCCCCACTCTCGGCCGTACCAGGGCATTCAGGGGGGCCTTTATGCCTATGGAAATTACCTTTCTCGCTTTGAAAAACAAACAATTGATTAAGAGAACAAACGAATATACTTTAATATGCTATTGCCAACCCACTGTTTAACGAGTCGAAAGATCGGCGGTTGCTGACACCTCTACGACTTCATCACGAGGGGAGGAGTGCTATGGTCAAAGCAGGTAAACTGTGGGCCTAACACGACTGCTTGATAGAAAACTGCAACCGAAATCATTATCCTTAAAGTACGAAATTTACGTTTACCCGGAGAATTAGATGGTCCTACAGAAAAGAATGCTGACAACGACGTAGTGGTCGTTTCAGGAGAAGGGTGTCAATCTATCGATAAAAGTAAATAAAGAAGGAACGAATTGAGCGAAGAAATTTCTTTTCAATTAGTTTTCTTCGCTCAATTCGTTCCTTCTTTATTTACAAAATGGCAAAATGGGAATTTTCAATATATTGAAAAGTAAATAAACCAATAATATTTGTATTAAACGCTTAAAACTCATTTCATCTCAGACTATTTATTACTCTAGCCCTTTTTTTAATTAACAATCATGAAATTGTACCAGTTACATAAACATATTTATTCGTTTTCGTTGTCTCCGTTACTATTCGGTATGCATGTGTTTACGGCTTTCTCTGTAGATGACTACTACGTTTTTTTGTACTAATTGTGTTAATTTATATTTTAGAAACGGATTACAATTGTGGGCTATATATATCGTTATCTGTTTTGACCATAGCCCTGCTAAGACTTGTGTGACAATGTAGAGACATATTCAAGAAATTTATCTCTAGTTAATCACTTCCTACTTGGTTGGGGTCCGCGTGACTATCGTAACCAATGGTTGGAGACTCTTGGTGACATGGCTCAGAATCGATCACAATGGCGTCGGTGTATACACTCCCTGTCTTCCCTTAAACTAAGAGATTAAATCACTTCATATCTTTCTTTCTACGAACTAATTCTTCCTTCCTATACTATATCCTTATTGCAACCTTTGACCTAACCACTGCTATGAATCCGGTGTTCATCTTGTTGTGCTAATGCGGTATGGCAACCTGGACCGATGCACATATGTGCCTGGTCCTACGTTGTAGCTGACTGACTGACTGACTGACTAATCACTTCCTACACCAAGAATCCAGTTCAGTACTATGAGATCTCACGAAAAATGCAGAACCATTAAAATTACTGGGTGTGCAAGTCAAATAAGCTAAAGTGCGATTAAATCTTTTTACGGAACAGGAATATACTCACAATAAATTTACGATAAAATATAGCGATTGAATTTATATATAGCAAACAACAGCAACCTACGAACGTTCTCTATTTTTGAAGGCAAAATTCCACAAAGTAAAATAGAGCAAACTCTTTCGAAATACATTAGAGAAGTGTAATGATGTTAATCGTACGCTTGATACTTTCTGCCTAGTAGTCTAAACCAACTGAAGATGAAAAGTTGTAATAAGAAATATTGGTTTTGTTCAATTTAATACAGAAACTTTCATAATTTTTTTAATTAGTGAATTAACTGTAATATCTACCTCTAAACACATAGCAGTAATTTGTTCAATACGTGAAGTATTTGCCAGGAAAGCCTCACGGTCCACTGTTATGTAATTATGTAGACAGGGCATCATTTCTAAACAACAATATAGATAGGAAAAAACTTTAAGAAGGTGAGAGATTTCAAACAGAAATAAGATAGAAGTTCTATAAGCACTTTGCCTAAATTTGGACGAATAGTTTTACATTAGTTGGGCACTTAGTAAACGTACGACATTAAAAATAAAACCATACTTGCAAAAACTCAGCAACTGAATTTCAAACAAATCCAACTTTTAGCTCGGCGATCTGATCTAAACTTTTCAAGGGAAGTAATTAAACATTAAAATTATCAAATATAAACATGGTTTGTACTTTGTCGAATATCGGTTAGTAAAGAATTGACACTAATTCGAGAATCAAATGAACGATTTTGCTTACATTGAGGATACAAGTTTCAATCTTAACAACTACCAAATCAACAGGGAGCAGATCTATAATAAGATTGAGATAAATCTAAATAATATGCAACAATCAAGCATCAACATGAACAAGAAGAATCTTGATAAAAGGAAACGACTTGTATTTGCTACTACGTACCACAGCTAGGAATCATTGTTTAGTAGGATAGTCTGTTTTGACACAATGAGATCTTTCAGTTTTAAAACATAAGGAAATTGGTTTGCATCACTTCACTCAACTTTGCTTTGAGTTAATTGAGTCTAATCCCAAAACGTCCTTCACGAAAATCTTTTAATACTGATTTTGTGAAGCATGACTTTCGAAAACTTTAAGTCAATTACGTCAGTTAGTGATTTTTGCTCTGGGAATATAAATAAATGTTAATCACACAACGGAAACCAACGACATACTACTAGTAATAAAATAATATGAAACAAGAATGAATTATGCAACTAGAGCTTTCATCAGTTTTTTAAGTCTTCAAGGTTTTCAACCCATAATTATCAATTAGCCAGTTGGTAATTCCATTTGTTGGAGGATATGACCAATAGTCTAGTACACGAAATTAGCCTAAATCATATACTTACCGGGAGTTTAGGAGGGAAATTATTGCTGAAAAAGTAGGGTATTATATAGATTTTATCTGAGGTCTAAATGCATAAAATACTTACCGGAAAAGCACTCGCAAGCATCTTTTTTGAATACAGGATAGAGTTGATCGAAAAGTTGCCACAAAAGTGGGGAAATCTTGTTAGTTGTCAGCGAGAAAATGAACGTGAGAGCTTCATCAAAGAACACACTTAATTTATGGTTGAATATAGATTGGATCAAATGCACAACAATGGGTTCAAGCTGAGCAACAAGGTTTTCATTATCTTCACCAACTTGCAGAATAGACTCCATATTATCTAAAACACTTGTAGCAACTATTGACCGGTACTCAAAGAGATCTTCTGTATCCTCAAGCTCGATTAATTCCCTATTTAATTCATACTCGGATTTAATAACGAGCTGATGAAACGTATCTGACTGGAGGAAAAAAGACACCAAAATTCAATTAGAAAAATGTAAACCTAAACCCTTCCCTAAAAAAATCAGACTAAACAATTAACTGAATAACAGTTATGTTGATTAAAACATACCAATGTTTGCATAACTTCAGAAGCGATTGGAACTATTTCTTTTTCAAATGTATGTATTAATATTTCGATTACACTGTTTAAATCGTCGAATTCAGTTTGCCGAAGAAGCTCCAATAAACCTGAAAGTGAACGTACTATGAATATAACTGCCAAAATATTATGAGACAAAGATCTGTACTACTAAAATAATGAGACAAATTGAGCTAAAACGATTTCTAGCAAACAGCCTCCTGCACTGCTGTTAGCGGGACATAGACTAGATTAAATCATGCTCAATGCATGATTGTTTTGGTGCACGCTGATTGGCTGATTCTTATCCAATCAGCACTAGTCGATAGTCGGAGAATACTCTGGAATCTTCTTATGTAAAAACTATAAATATACCGACGTTTTCCCCTATTGCGCTTCCTACTGGCTTCCGACTTGCTATTTGGAATATAATCTTTTTCCTGTTCAACCGTGTTTTGATTTGGGGACTTGTCGAGTGAATCGGTGTCTGAGAATACTAAGCAGTAGGAATAGCTGGGTCATTAACCGTAGTAAGAAAGAGATTATAACAGTGGCGACGGGGAAAAACTAAAGAAAAATGGCGATTTCTTTAGAACAGTTGCGGTTAATATTACAGCATCAGCAGAAGTTGTTAGCCTTGCAACAACAACTATTGAGCACACTTTTCACTCGACCAGAAAATAAGAAATCTGTTTATGATGCATTAACAGACATTTCAGAAGCATATCTAGTGGAGGGTTCAAATCCCTTTATACCTGAATCAGAACGTAATATTTGTAACGTTTCCGGCTCACAGCAAGGAAATCCTGTGCTGAATGCTCATAAAGTTGTGGCAATACGAGATTATCAAGAGTCAGACCCTGTAGATGAAGCCCGGAGTTCAGAATTGAATGAAGCACTACTGGTCCTGTCTAGCTCTGAAAATAACTTTCAGCTAGAACAAATTTATGGTCCACGTGATATTAGCCAAGAAAGCTATGAGGACTCGTATTCAGAAAATAACTGCAGTGACACAACGAACCCAATTATACCGAATGTTACTCAAAATCATTGTGAGACAGAAACTTATATCGAATCAGCTTATCCGATTTCTAATGACAATGTATCAGACATGGGTTCTCAGAACAATGCATGTTATTTTGATGAAATTTCTCATAAAAATCAGGAAAATATATCAGCTGAGTCAAATTATGGTCAAAAGTCTAATTTAATTTTGTTAGATGATGATTTCCGTAATGATCCATTATCCACTGATGAAATTCTTAATGGATTTGAAAGTAATGCTTCAGAAGAATTAAACTTTGACCTCAAATCAAAGGTCGTTCATTATCATCTAGTCGTTTCTAGTGGATCCGACATTCAATGCGAGAAACGTCGTTTAAATAAAGTCCTATTATTTGTAACTTGGAGATATAAGGATCCGACATTGTTTCGCGGAGGAGAATTAAAAGTTATGCATACTTTTTTTTAAGAAAAATCAAAACGCCGGGAACAGACATGTCAGTCTCTGTGCAAGGAAAAAGTGATAATTCTTCATTGCCTAGACGATGGACTAATCGAAAGCACAAGCCAGTCACTCAGTCGCAGTTGGACCCTAGCACCAGATCCTACGAATCTGCTCAGAGGGGTGTTAGCGGGACATAGACTAGATTAAAGCATGCTCAATGCATGATTGTTTTGGTGCACGCTGATTGGCTGATTCTTATCCAATCAGCACTAGTCGATAGTCGGAGAATACTCTGGAATCTTCTTATGTAAAAACTATAAATATACCGACGTTTTCCCCTATTGTGCTTCCTACTGGCTTCCGACTTTCTATTTGGAATATAATCTTTTTCCTGTTCAACCGTGTTTTGATTTGGGGACTTGTCGAGTGAATCGGTGTCCGAGAATACTAAGCAATAGGAATAGCTGGGTCATAACCGTAAGACAAGAGTTATAACAACTGCCTACTAGTCCAATCTAACAAAGTTACCTAAATAAAGAGTATATTCGTTGTCAGATGGATAGGAGTAGCAGAACCTATTAGTTTTGCTCAACATGCAACACAGAAAAAAGCAATGCTTTATCTAAACTTCCTCCCTTGCTGAAATTTATGGTGTTTAGGTGCACAAAAAATACTAAAATGTACAGATTTCTACAAAACCATGTTGATTGTTTTACAACGGTATATTAAAAATCACAGGTCATAAGACATGATACAAACAATTCAAGCCCTTAAACACACACTGTTTTGCGTCTGATTCATATGTGCTCGTACATGAATCGTTGGTATCAAACGACAGTAAATATAGTTTCAACTAACCCCTCGGTTCACTGAAGAAACAGCCATATTAAATTTATTTTACATGTGTTTAGACGGGCATTAGCACTTACTAAGCAACAAAGAGAAAAATTAGGATCAAAAACTTGGTATAGATGATAAATACGTAAAACTTACGGCAACTGATATAAACTGGGTGCTTTAAAGTGCACAGAGTTATATTTTAACCACAGAATACCAAAAAAAACACCATAAGGGTAGTTACTTTAGGAAATTACTTGTTTTTAGTAATTATAGAATGGTCCGGAAGTCACATGAAATCTTACACAACCTCTACCGGGAATCCTAAATGGGTTGTTACTTTCTGAAATCAAAACCAGGTATATTATGCCAACTAACGCATGCTAGTATGGGGGTTGTGGAGATTATTAAGTTTTTGATTGAGATCATGAACCGACTGATGTTAGACCACAACCTTTGGAAACCTGGAAGCACTGGACGGCTGTTTCGTCCTATTGTATGCTAACTGGAATGCATACATATTTTAAGGTTTGTTATTTAGTGACTTTTCAATACTTTTAAGTGAAAACATTAAATGTGGTATATTTATGACCCCGTTAAAATACACTAAGAAATTTAACTACGGCTGAAATCTTCCAAGAATTTAGAAGTAATGGTAATCCACATGTTTTGTTGAAAGCATGCTCTTATCTGTAAGGTTCCGCTAAAACGCCTACATACTATAAGAGCTTCCGACTGAAACAAATGCTCAGGATACCTGTGGGCATATCCCTACGTTTAACGTAACAAGGCATCATAAATCCCTTATGAAAGTAATAAACAGTGCCTAGTAAAAATATCGACTGAGCTCTCGTAATTGCATGTTATTAAAAGCATCTCCCTGTGGGACAAAAAAACTGGTAAGTCACATTCAAATCGCAATTATCAAAAAACTACGATTAATCAAATCCATACGATATTAGAGAAAATGAAGCGGTGACTTAGTAGTTGATGCATTTGACTCTTAATAACTAAGTCCTAAATTTGAGCCCTGTCGCGCCCACTTTAGTCTAGACAATCGGATAGTATCGTTCTTTCCCAACCTTAGTGTGCTTCATACCCAATACCTGGTGAATGCTAATTTAATTATTACCCAACAAACGGAATGAGTTATCGCAGTAAGTGAACCAACAAACTAAGAGGAAACATGCTATGCAAAGCATTTCGAAAACCATAATCACTGCTAGAAAGGACCTCCTTAAAAAAAGATAGTTATGAAAAACAATCAACTACCAATTAATTTTCATAAAATCACTCACGTATCAAGAGTTCGCGTAGATGAGGAGCCACAAATTGATGAGCTAAATGAAGTTGAAAGAAAATAAATTTTTAATTACAGCAAAAGCAAGATAGTTTCATAGTACATATAAGGTGTTAAACGATTCTGGAGCATTGCTGTTTCATGTAATTCTCATGTCACAATGTCACTAAGCAAATTGGTCACCAATCTGTAAAGTCCGACCTAATGGACTTTTGTTAGATAGAAAAAAACTAGTATTGTTACCGTAACCCGAGTTATTTGTACATACATACTAGTAGATTGTCTTGCTAGTGCGATGGCTTGTCGTATATGAAAAAATGAACTTTCAGAAGCCATCCAGTTCAAATTTTGAAACACTACACAAAAACTAAGCTTCAACACACGCTTATTACTACAGACCAATTTGAGGATGTAGTGGGTAGCTATGAACAGACCTGTCACAACAGTTTAACCAAGTTAAATATTCTCCTAACAACTGTTCTTTGGAGTTTAAATGAACTATATTGCTGCCAGTGTCTTAAGAACACATTTTTAACCAATAATTCAGACGTTTTAAGAATTTAAACAAACTTTTTAATAAACATAAATCCAGAGTACCATGAACTGTACACATCTCTAATAAACAGAATAATCACGCTTAACTCACCAGTTTCTTGACACCGAACTAATTCTGAGAGACAGAGTGCAGCAAACGCACGAACTGGCAATTCCGAATCAAAACATGCAGCTTTTCTCACTTCATCAACAACTTGGGCAAATATATTTTGGTCATTGAATTTAGCCTCTGATAATTTCTCCAGCAATCTGTAAGCCCTAGCACGACGATATCCTTCAGGAGCATGCAAAGTCGGAAGGACATGACCTACAAGAAATGATTCTAATTGAGACTGAAAGATAAGTACATAAGTGTTGTCGAACATACCTTGTATGCAGCTTTTTTCAGTAGGATTTCAGCTATAGCTATGTACATGTGCAAAACAGCATCCTTCTCAATAGGAGAACTCTCGGAACTTAATATATGAATGCAGAACGGCATTATGTTATTGAGAACACCACGTCGTTTAACACATGCTTCACTTAGAAGCGTAGACGCTGCACTTGCTGGACTAGATACTGATCCCCAATCACCTGAAAATGAAGAAAAAAGAAAGAATCTTACCGGCTTCTGCTCGAATGTATTCCACTGGATCTTCTTGCCATAATTCTGCATCTTCTTCGGTATATGACATTAGCGGGAATATAACTTCACGGACCAAAAGAGAGAAATGTGGCCGTAGTAATTTCCATGAAAATGAGTTAGCCAGTCTACAAAAACAAGTTGGATTGTGTTTTACTTACGCCGAAGAAAAATAGTCCAGTGTTTGACTAAGCACAGGTTTGGAAACGAATGATTTTTGTCTGTATGCTTCACATATATTCAGAAGTACTGATATTATTTGCCCTGAGAAAGCTTTAAGATACCAGTCAGCGAATGGTTGATATAGCTTAATGACTGAGCCAGGACTACCATAACTGAAAGGAGTTAGTAATTTCTACGCATCATACCGGGTGAAAACCCTGTTAAGTATTTTTAAAGCCCATTTTTGCCGTTTCCAGGTTGAACTTGAAGTGTCCGAATGAGTCACTTTGAAATCACCGAGTATAGTACAGAACATATCAATCCAATGAGTAAATAACTAAACAGGAGTAAGAAATAAATGACATACCTGTTTATTCATTGCATCCAGTGGGAAATGGTAATTTATAAATGAAAAGAATATTTTGATAATGAGCGTTTGAAGTACATAAGAATCTTCGGATTCTTCAGCGATGAGACTCGACAACGTTGAATATAAGATTGGAAAAAACACTTGCATCGTGGAAACCGTATTTGCGCGTTCATCGTTTTTTTTGTATGTATACACTTCAACAAAAGCATAAAGGCAACGAAGAGCTCCTCGAAGATGATGGCGATCATTTGATTCTAAAAAATGCTTTACTTGTTCAGGGAACTCTTCAAAACGAGTAGGAAAATCATGCCTAATTATTTTGGAAAGAGCAACCTGGAGATGAGTTCTTATTTAAGAAGTTACTTCATAAAAATGTCTTACTGAAAAGGAATTGGCGCCGAGACAAGAGCTGCTACAATAGAACTTCTGATTGCCTGCTTATCTTGCTCATGTATACAAAATCTTAATTCACCAGATTCGTCTGACTCATCGGGCTTCCACCATTCAGAGATGTTGTTTTTAAAATAGAGAGCTGCTGCTTGTCGTACTCCCACATCAATACTCTCTTCGAGGATGATTTTCAATAGAGTGGGAACAAATCCAATAATTTTATGCATCTGGAAATAAACAATAAGTAGCTTTGCTTACTTCATCAAGTATCTTTGTCCCATTTCCTTGTTTTTCTGCCAACAGAGTATTACTTAATGCCTCAACTACCCTACTAGGGTCCATGCTAGATAGGATTCCAAAAACAACGTGACAATCACCACAAATTGCACCGCCCTACGTCTTAGTAAAATAAAACAAACATCGAAACTATAAAGATTTAAATTTCTACCTATTATGCATTAACAGAAATCGACCACTGGTTTATATCGTTCTTTTATTTGTATTGAAATTATCAAAAATAAATCTTTTTAATTGGACATAAATGTTTCCCCTTTTGACTAGGCATTTAATCATTCTCTGAGCACCAAAACCCACTATTTTTTGTTTCATGTGAACTCATTCTCTGCTTTGGTCGGTATATTTGACTTCATAGCAACTGTTACCTATCTGGTACAGATTGACGGGTAGGATCTTATTCCTCATGTAACCGCCTATTACCTTCGCTTTTCTCTGAGACCATGTGTAAGGGTGATGTGACTGATTTTAGGGGAGGAATGGAAGATCTTCAGCTATAACATGAAGCTTATCAGGAGCTAATCTCCTGGGTTTCAGTAACAAGAAGGCGCCTTTGCTTTTAATTACATGAATTATTTCAAATCTACCTTTGGAAAGTTAGTGGTTTGCTTTATTTATACTTGAAAAATTTGTAGTGTGACATCTTCGAGATAATGTCTGATGCTTCGCATATCTATCTTCCTGGTAACCATTATTATATAAATACTAACAGTGTATATATTTCAGACGATATGAATATAGTTTATTATCGAACAGCGCAGATCAAGAAGTCATAAGCACACACGGGGAATTCCACCAGAAATGTTAATGCAGGCTAGAAAGTACAGAAAGGGGGTTGAGAGCCGAATAAATTAACATTATTCAACCATATATACATCGATTGCACCCACCAGTGATAGTAATGGAGATGATAAATATCAGTTTCATAAGAGGTGGAAGTCGGTCATAGGAAAGTGCCCGGAAAACAACCTGACCATCCTGATGGGAGATATAAACGCCAAAGTTGGAATGAAAAACAACGGTTATGAAGATATCATTGGACGACATGGACTGGAAGAAAGGAACGAGAATGGAGAGAGATTTGCAAATCTATTAGCGTTCAACAAATTGATTATACGCGGCACAGTATTTTGATGGAGTTTTGTTCTCTGAGCTGGATGGTTTGGTCATGGAGCTAACACTGTTCCTCTGAACGGCGTCATCAACAAAACTTCATTAAAACTATCCACTTGATCTAAAAATCTTCTCTACTGCCTCAACATCATATGGGCGGCACAATAATTCTACACAAACGCATAAACAAAGCTATATGGATCTAATCGGAAGCTTTGTGTACGTAAATCTCTCCACGCACACCCTGTTGTGACCTATTCTCCATGAGCCCTCAAGCTGTATATTTCGTTGATCTTTTGATTCCATTTGAGATGGTACACTTCGCATTTTATCGTAAATTTTGTTTTCCCTACGTTTTCACTGAATTGTCGTGTGGCTTTAGTTAATATTTAGTTGTGGTGGCAGCCACATTGATCTGTGTCTCTTTTTTATTGCGTTGCTTGAACTGACTGGGAATGTGCATTTATGATTGTGAATTGAAACACTCCTCCAGAACTGGATGCGCTAACCCTTAAAACATCTGTGAATGCTAGATCGCCAGAAATCATTTAGTAAACTTCTCACTTTCGTAATTTTATTACTGAATTTAAATTTCGCATTTGTGCTCCAAGAGTGTCCATTTTTACCCTCAGTTTGCATTTCCTACCTGGAAGAATCTTAAATACGATTGGTTGGTTTTCTCTTTTAGTACGCCATTTCATGACGTTTTTCATGGGCACTTTTGTGTTGTGTATATACGCATGAGTTCTGTTCTTGCTTGTTCTTTCTCCGGCGCTTACTGTAGAGTCTATAATTCCCTGCTAAATCTGGTCTTTTACCACTAGTTAGCAAGGCTGAGGCGCAGTCGAATGGATTAGCTAGTCCTACTGTTATGTTACTGACTTTCGTTCCATCCGCCGGTCCCAGGTGATATATTAATCCCTCCAATATATCCGTAGCAAAGTTAAATATCATCAATCGAATGGTCTGTATGTTACGCCCAAGTTTTGCTCGTCCCAGTTATTGAAGCACGGACTATCGATCTACTTGCAAATTACGAACCCAAATTAACAACAGAACCAAACTCCAATTTAGATACCAAGTTTATTCGCAATTCACAAATAGTCGATCAAATGTCGTTCTAACAACAATAATTATAACAATTACAAAACAAACCTTCAATTTTGTAGGTTCCCTGAGCAAAACTGCCAACGACAAAGGGAAACCAAAATGTCCGAAATAATGTTGTAAACAAACGAGTTCAAAAGTCAAGTAAAACAAACACATCCAAAAACACAGTAAATTAATAATATACAATAAAAAAGGTTTTGATCCGCCAAATGTTTTCAGTTCTCCTATAACACTATATGTGGTCTATCCATAAATGATAGAATAACATTTAAGTATTGATGGGAACATTTATCTGTTGCACATGATTTGACTACTGGTTGTGCAATTATTGGTTGAATAACTGGCTGGAAATATTTTTTAGGTAATAATGTACATTTGAGGATGTAACAAAATTTTTTCCTACCATGAACCCAATTACCTTGTTTTGGTTTTGATCGCGCGCTAGTTTATATCTAAAATAACCTAAACAGTTATTCATTATTCCAAAATGATCTAGTTTTTAAGATATAACCAGTACCTGGAAAAAGTTTCAACAGAGTGCTGCTGAGCCGGCCGAAAATTTCAGCAGATGCCCGAATTCCGGATCTGCAAACTGAATTCCGTAAGGATCACCCGTGCGCAGAACCAGTTTTTATTACTGCTAATGGTTGTCTCGTGAATCTGTTTGCGCATGCAAGTAGATAATTAAAACCATTAGAACTCCATCAATAAGCTACCGAATTTACATGAACACAAGGAAAAGGAAAACTCGCATAGCTGTTGATGTCTGACCGTTGTCACGACGAACACTTTTTAACCTGCTTGTATACATACGTTTGTAAACTTGTCCATACGCATTTGGTTTTAATTAGTTTGGTGACATCAGTTATTTTTAGCTTATCTTTGGAAGGTATATGATTTGATAAGGCCAAGCTTGAAAATTTCGGGAGTATATTCTGGAACTTACCAATTGCTATTTTTGCAATTTGCATCAAATTTAAAGAAATAACGTGACTTAGTTTGCTGCTTGTGTAGCTCAACTTCTCCTCAGTTGTCGAGTGGTGTTTCTTGGTGTCAACTAGAAATTCATATCTACCTAAAAAGGTTTTTCGTGCCTTAAAGTAACCTTCGTGCTATTGATAGAAGAAACCAGAGAAGTAGTGAATAGGTCTTTATTTCGGTCTCAGCGCGGTAACAGTGGAGCGTGGTATTATCTGTTCAGACAAACAAAGGCTCTCAACATTCAATATAAGATAATAGGTAATATAACGCTTATACAAAACAAGAAAGTGAATGAATACTTGAACAGTACTGTTTTGGCATATGCTTGGTTGTTTGGGGTCAACTCTTAACCAACCAACCTAAGCTGTTACATTAGCTTCCCCCTAGAATCGACTTCCGTAGGAACGTCGGTTCGATTAACCTAACTATCGAAAACACCTTAGTTCTATTTCTCATCCCAAGGGAAAATTATCAACTCGCTCACTGTTTGACTTACAATCAAAGACGACTGACGCTGTCAACGATAGTCCATGGATGTCTCTTCTTTACTAGCTTGTCATCTTATTTTGTAGCATGTGATTTCTTCTACAACTATCGCCGACGGTTTGCTGCGTGCTTTCAAGAGAAAGTGTGAGAATGTGGAATAAGAATATCTGAGGAAGTGCCGCGAGCGGGCTACCCAACACCATGTTGGTGAGGTACGATTTTTCCGTGCTCAGACCAGCTATCAGGTGTTTACTCACCTGCCTCTTGAGTCGCCCTCAAGTAAAAAGTAAAGATGAATCTACTTCAAAGGTAATGGTGAAAATCAAGCAAACCTGAAGAACTGCTCCACTGCCTGCATAAAATAATAAGATACAAAATGGAAATACATAAATGTAATTGATAATTGTTCGGTTCCATGTAAGCACTTGGTCTCCAAAACGGACTGGTATTCTGGAAGAGAATAGACATAGTGTAGATATCTTGTGCACGAAAAACCATGAAAACAAAAAAAATACTCTTTTGTAATGGATATATGTAAAAGGGTGAACTTGCTGGAAGTTGAACTCTTTAACAAAATCGATCAAACGCGTGACCTTGAGCCTATGATGACCGCGTTTCACAACTAGGTGCGTAACCAAGGGTGCATCAGAATACTCCACAAAACGGAAAAGAATATACGGTTAAATGGTTCAAATGGTTGTGGACGGAATAGAAGAAGCTTTCGCTTAACAGGCTTCCGTGTCTAGTAGCAGGGGATCACCAAATCCTCCAGGCAGGAACCTAGGTATGTTAACAATAAAAGAGGAAAAGAAATCGGTAAATCATAGTGTGATGCTGTCCTTGGTTCTTAAGAATAGGTCAAGTTGCCTCTTGAAGGACTCCTGAGAAGTCGCTTGGACTAGCTCGGCCGGCAGCGAATTCCAGCTTTTGACAACTCTTAAGGAGTAGAAGTTGTGTCTACATTCCGTCTTGCTATGTTGTGTTTCCAGTTTCTGGGTGTTACCCCTTAGGTTATTATTCGAACTAAGCTTAAGTAGGTGTTTAAGAGGATGTCCAGAAGTGTTAAGAATACTATAAGCCATTAATAAATCACCTCTAAGACGCCTATATTTTAGTGGGTAAAGGTCTAGTGAACGGAGGCGCTCTTCGTAAGGCTTAGATTTGAGTCCTCGAACTGATTTCGTGGCTCGCCGTTGGATACGCTCCAAAGTGACTTTGTCCTTATGGGGTGAGGGGGGAGTACTATGTTTCCGTACTCTAAATGGGGACGGATGAAACTATTGAAGATTGTGTGGAAAGTTCTTCCGTCAAACTGGCCAAAAATGCGCCTCAACGTTACCAGTGCAAGGTTTGCTCGGAAGGCATTTTTGTCACAGTTATCGTAAGACTTTAAGTCATGGGGCACCAGGACTCCTAAATCTTTTTC